AGTTTAACGTGTACCACCGGTGGTACACATGGCACGGAACGTGTTAAACTAATAGCTTTCCGACATACGTAGAATTTTGAACATAACATCGTTCCCTCCAAAATGGAGGGGAATCTTTAACATTTCTCCAAAAATATCATAGCCCCCCTTTCGTACTTAACAATTTTTGTTAACAAAACTTCTTCGTATCTTCAAAACAATACGGGAATCGAGAGCTGAAAATCTTTTCCCCGATATCAAGACTGTGTTTCAATGTCTTAACACACCTTTAAAGACCTTGTCGAGATACTTCATCTCTTTGAGCGCATCGTACGTTATCTTTCCATCATGTTTCTCGTAAGTCTCTCGGATTTCTTTGCGCAATTTGTCCTGCACGTTCTGATTTTGCGCCAGCTCGTAGAGAGCATGTGACATCGACGTCGAGGAGGTTTCGAACCCAGCAGTGAAGAAGACGAACGCTTGCGCGGCGATGAACTCAGGTGTCAAGTCTGTGAAAGACAAAGCTCAAGGATTCAGTCAGTGTCAGCGAACTTTCGCGTTTTGCTCTATCTGATCAGACGATTATTTACTGAAAATGAGTTTCTCTTTCCAATCATTGGAAACAGAAATTCATTTACTTTCAGTAGTAAGAACGTTGCACTTGTTTGATCCTCGAACGACATTCCACGAGATCATTGACAAATCATTGAATTTTCATCGTGTTGATCCCCAGATAATACACTAAATATTTTAACTATAAAAAAAAAGAAGAAAAAAATCATGCAACAACGGATCTGGGCCTACTTTAAAAGACTGAAGTCTCTACTTTCAAAATGCATCGTTCACTTTGTTCTAGAATGTTCTTTAGTGTAATATCAATTAACAGTATAATTGTACAACATTAATTATATAGTCGTTCAAGTAAGTTCAGTAAAAATTTAATTTTGCATCCTAATGTATACCCACTTATGTTCTCCAACTTCTCCGGGTGATCTTGAATTTCTATCAGCGCGTTGACGAAATCAGGCCTGACAATGTTATTCTCTTTTCGATACTTCATCGTGTCGGTGATCACGTCTGTGAGAAATTGATCGACGCCCGGAGGTTGCAGGAAGCTGCCGAATAAATTGTACAAACTTGGCAGGAATTGCCTGCAGATGTCTCTGGCCTGCAGCCGCAGTGTCTGCGCGAACAGTTTCCGGCCAATGTCGCGGAACTCGCTTTCCTCGTCCTCGATTGCGTTCATGTTGATGCCGAAGGCGCAGCTGCCGATCACGTCGGTCGTGAACTTCGCAGCAAGATCACGGCATTCTACCGGCTTGCCGGCACGCGCCACTTTGTCCACGTATCTCTCCAGATTCCTCGAACACTCCAGCATGAGGGGGACCATCTCCTTCAGCTTGCCCGACGTGAATATCGGCGAGAGTTTCGTTCTCATTGGTCGCCATCTTTCTGCCTCCAGGGCGAATAGATGCTCTCCCAGCGGTTCTGCCTTGCAAACGAGAAATTTCCTCTCAGACGCAGACTTTCTCTAAAGTCGTAGATTTACAACTAGCGAGATGGAACGTTGGAAATTTGCGAATTGGTACCAGTTTGAGATTTCAAGCGGTATATGCGAAGAACATAGACATTTTTCGTTCATTTCTCGCGTCAATTTAACACAATTTTTCTTATAAAAAGTTGTGCCATTAATAGATAAGTGCAGGGTGGAAAGAAAAGTTTTTATCACAGATGAATTCTTATCTAGCGTTCTAACAGCGACTTTATGGTTCTGGACGCGTGAATGTAATGTTCATATTTCGAATAATATTAAGAGTTAGCTTCATTATTTGATTATTTAAATTCACACTGATGCTACAACTATGATCAAATCAAATATTAATGCAATCTAATACAGAACCATAATTTACCCGAGTAGGATTAAGTAGACCTTGGATTTTTGTGCATTTTAAAAATACACACGAAACATGGAGTGAAAAAAATATATAAAATAACTTAGTAAAATAATTTTATAAATGTATGAAAGAATATATGAAATATAGAAAATTCTTTAATATCTAATAGATAAAATAATTTTCTATCTAGGTCCATTTTTTTAATTATCTATGTAAGAGCATAGAATTGCACAGAGTAAACATCTGCAATCAGATTAGATATTTTATCTAATTTTTATCATTATATGAATTATTATATTATTATTATTATTATTATTATTATTTTTATAATTAATTTTTATGATGTTGAATTTAACTTAGATTAGGAATATACACCGTTTTATCTGCAACTACTTAATACAATTCTTAACCTTGAGACTAATTGATGTTAATTAAATTGAATATAAACTAGTATTAACTCAACACATTAAACGAGCTACTATTATTTGTTGTAAATTTTTGTTTATTATTAATTTAAAAAAAATTTAATTATTTCCAAAAGATTTATAACTATATCAAGATTCGAAGCTTTGTCCATAAGTATGTGACAAATCCACAATATTTTGTGTTATCAGAATACAATTAGTTGTAAGATCTAACAAATCATGTTAAAATAATTCTTATAAACAATTATATTTTCCTATGAGTATTTCAAAATACTCACGTTCTCGAATTTTAATCTTCACACGTTAATAAATTATGTAAAAATTGAAACTGCATTAATAGGAATCCAGTTCCGAATACCTTTGGAAATATAGGAAATCCTCGGTCGACGAACAGGGAGAAGTCCTTGATGAGAACGTCTTTGATCAGGTCTAGATCGTTAATAACGAGAACAGGTTTCGTTCCCTCGAATATTCCGAACACCGGCTCGTTCTTATATTCGTCGTACATCTGTCTCAGTTTATCGCTTATCGACGTCTTTTTGAAAAGGATCTCGCTTAAATTGCCAGCCAATACAATAGGTCGCGGCCCAACTACATTGCGAATCTTCCAATAGTCAAAGGTCGAAGTGTAGTAGTAGTAGAGTGCCAAAAGCACCGCGCCAATGGCGCAGATAAGTTGAAAGTAATCCATGCTATATATCAGATTTTCTGTAGAAACCAAATTTCAACGATTAATCCTACTTATATTAACGTTACTGTCTTTGTATATTTTTGACAACTTTGATCATGCTTATACTGTCTCTGTGAAGTTCTTGAAAAAAATATATTAAACGCCGTCAGGGAAAAATATAATATGCGTAGGATTCTGGAATATTATAAAATCTTGATAATAGAATAACAAATTTTGTCGCTTCATGGGAGTTCTTTGAAAACAATGAACGATCATACTGCGAAACGTCGCATCAATCGAGCATCCATTGCTGATAAGAGGAATTGTCTCTATTTTACGAGGTGCACACAAATTTTTACAGTACAGTTTATTTCATTTAAAAATATTTTATTTGTAAATTTATTTTATTAATATGATGCGTCCGCACAATGTGAAACACATTGTATCATCAGATGTACGCGTCCGCACAATGTGGAAACACATTGTGTAAGGGCAATGTGGAATATGTTCCATATGCACATTTTATGTGCATGTTTTACGACACGATTGCTTGAACATATAATACTGTATTATATTTCAGTATCACGTGAAAATGCACTATTATTAACGGAGGAAATGTTGAGTTTCAAACCATTCGTTCAAATGCCAGACGCGAGTGTAGGAAGCATCGAGGTCAATAAATAAATTCTAGAAAGTGATACGATCTGATTTGTTTGCATTTCTTATTTAATAAATCTTCATTTCTAGTGACGAAAATAAAATTTTTGCAGTGTCTTTTTTTTTTTAAATAATTTTCCCAAGTGTCCCATTTCAGGGGCCATTTTTTCAATTCACTGTTTTCGACTCTTTCCACATTTTCTACTGCAGTCTCAACTAGCATTTGAATATTATTAATTTCGCGTTCGTTTCATTGACAAAAAACCGTCTTCTGGCAAGTCCCATATTATTCATTCGTTTTTCTATGACACGTAAACAATCGATTTACGCTTACGATTTGCTAACCTCGATCGCGGAGAATGTAAAACACCAAATAAAATCAGATACTTAAATGTTGGCAATCTAACTGTAAAACAAATTGTTAATATTTACACAGATAATTTATTCGCCAAATATCGATGACTAGCAAATTCTATTTTCTGCTATCAATGCTTGTCAACCAACAAACATAAAAGCCTCAGGCACGTATCTCTGCAATACGTGCGTCACTCTACTGCAATAAGTGCGTATATTATTATGACATGATACAAATGCTACGTTGATACGAGTTGACATTTAATCCCGCAAACAAAGACAAAAACATCTTAGAAATAGACATGTTAGATAAGAGGTGCGTTAGTTCATCCGAACGATTGTATTTTTTTTTTTTTGCCCTTTTTACTTGATTTTACGCCTGAATGAATTCTTGCTAATGTAATTTGCTCGATAATTCCCGATAACTCATTGTTTCTGCAACTGTCATTCTAACATGTAACTGCAACTGACAGTTTTTTTCTAACTGTAACTATAACTAAGTTCACGTACAGTGTGTGCTCGTACATTTGTTATTCAATATGTATGCAAAAATACGGTATCTAAGATTTGGAAGTTAAAAGTCTGGTCTTAATTAAAACTGTTAATTAAAATTTTAACAGCTTAGTTTATATAGTAGGATATTAAACGGCTGGAATATAAATTGATACATAGAATGTTAAATAATTTCAATACTCCTGAATTAAATTAAATTTAGCTGCAATTATTTGACACTGTTTTTTTTTTTTTTTTTTTTTTTTTTTTAATAAATCTTTGAACCTTTAATATTTAAAGTTGCTTTCGGTCAGTTATTTCCAAAACAAAAGCGATAATTTAGTCGAACCATTTCAATGTTATTTCAACATTATTTCCTATCTTTATATAAATATTTACATAATGTACATTATGTACATCTGTATGAATGTTATTATTATCTATAATAGTATATAAATATTTAATTATTATAATTCTATTTTCATATAATTTTATAAAAATGATATAATTTATAATAGTCTCGTAATATTGATGAATCGTTGAATTTTGCTCGAGAAATATTCTGGCGACCACCGAAAGAAGTTTTTCGGAAAAATTTCGATCTGTAGCTTTTCAGATAATATATTTTCTCGACTAGTACTGTTGTTACAAGTGAATCTTAATTATTTTGATTGAGTTTTAATATAATATCTGAATATAGGTATAATATCTTCCAGTAGCTTTCACTCTTTTTGCACACCATCTGTTATTTTGATTTCTTGTTTCTTCACTTTAATCATTACTTCCTACTTTCATTTTAATTTCATACTTCACTTGCAAATAATTCTAAACGATTTAATCGATTTTTCATAGTAGGTACATCTGTATCTTCAATTAGATGTATCTTACAATTAGACTGCAGGTTCCTATGCATATATGGAAGATTTATACGTAGAAACATGCCTGAAATGCATGCAAAATGCATATATTACAAATATTAAAATATTCAAAGTACAGTACCCCATGCAATATTTGATATGTCAAATAATTTTCTATTTCAATCCTTTATTTCTTTAATCATCTTCATAAAAATATGACAAAGTATTATAAAAATAATAGAAACTGTCCAAAAATTCGCAGCTACTTACGATCCAAGCTTTCTCAAAAAAATCTCTGTTCTAACTCAATTAACTGTTGAGCTTTTGGACGCGTTCCGCGTCATTTTACCGAGATACAAAAATCTTTACACACGGAAATAATCGTATTTTCACAGATCTCGTATGTCAAATTTTAAACAGAGAAGTGTAGCCTGCTAGTCATCTATTTATCAATAAATCAATACTCTGCTATAAATGCCATAAAAACGATTTGCAATAAAATTTATTCAGCACTCGTAGAATAGTTGTCAGACCTCGAGATGATATCCCGCGAGTAAAAGATAATAACGCTTTAGAAAGTATAGGAAGGAAGATTCATTTCTGTAGCGATATTCAAAGTTTTTGAATCAAAGTATGTATCGGAAGAATACTATTTAATGATCCAACTGACATGTAAATCCTTGCGATCACAACCATAGAAATAAACATATACAGGATCATATAAAACGTTAGAAATTCGCAAGGATACGCGAATTTAAGGGGATCAAATTACTTGTTGTCGTATCAAACGTAATTTTTTCTCACACTTACTCACAACGAAGTCTTCTCCAAATTACGAACGAAGATTGTCTGCCAGATTTATTACATATCGTGGTTGAATCACAACTGACACTGATACTCTGGACAGCAGAGTTTCCGTATCGTAGAGATAAGTACATTTTCCTGCCACTCTAATCGCCTCTAGCAAATTCCTCCATGTCGAAAACACGTGACGTCACATCATCTTTTGATGATTTCAGATTAGATAGATTACAATGATGGTGAAGGTAACGCAATGTCGCTTTGACCATTATGATCTGACAGTCCTGATCAGTGGAAATATCTCATGAAAGGAATACGGATTTGATTGATTAATTTTGATACTGATTGATTAATTTGGTACCAGTAAATTCGACGAATTTCTCATTTTCCATAGAAATTTTATATATTTGTAACAGTGCATTTTTCAGGCGATGATTTTTAGTAAAATATATAAATAGATCCGATACGAGATTAATATTGGGACAACCAAAGTGAAAATAATCAATTCATAATTTTCCACTGAAATTTTATACATTTATAACATAGTGTATTTTTGTGAGACTTGAATGATTTCTAGTATACAAATGGAAACAAGCTTGTGAAAATTATTGTCCCAATCTAAACCGTATAATTAATTAATTAGCTTTCTTCATGGACATAGATTGTGAATTAAAGTGTAAGAATAATTCATTGATACATTGGTGGATAAATTTAGAAAAAAACATCGCCTATATTTTTCATATATTTCAATATATTTGGAAGAAGAAAATATAGATTTTATACAGTGTCTCTCGTTCATATTCGGGACAGTAAATATTTAGACTAAAATTCATAGTTTAAAAGAGTAAATCTGGTCTCGTTTTAAAGCCTGAAACCTCTACTTTCCAAATACATCCTTCGTTTTATTTTAAAATGTTTTAAAATAAAGAAATTTTTTTTTTCTCAAAAATTCTATAAATTGTCACATGAAAACGGGGAAACGTTGAAAAATTTTTTTAACGATTAAACCTACAATGGATTTGAAGATTCAAACCTTTCCTTTACAATGACCATCGAAAACTTGATGTACGATTTTATGCGACTTTATGCTTAGTTGTATTTATTTTTGATTGATATTCAAAGTTCAATAAATTAAAATTTATCCAAGAGGTCTTTGTTTCTTCTTCTAAAATCTCACTTTGACAACATGTCCTGAATTTTTTGGATGGGGGTACAAGTGGCGACATAGCGATGAAAAAGTATTAATAAAGTCTTTGAAACTTCTTCTCATATTCCTAACATTGATAAGATACAACTTGATAATAGAAATTGATAGAAAAAACTGCATTTTAACGCCAGCTTCTAACGGATCAACGAATTAAATTTCGTTTTTGACTATCTTTAAATACAATCCTCTTTTCGGGCACATTATAAGCGCAATTGGATCGAACACGTACGGAATCGGTGTCTTCTCGCAAACCTGCACCTGGTAATTACGCAGGATTTTTATCAACCCAATCTTCGTCTGATAAATCGCGAAACGTGCACCTGAAATGAAGAAACGATGTGTCAATCACGTATTGTCTTGATACGACTGAAATTTGGAATATTATATTATATTATATTATATCATTCAATGAACAACCTTTTCGATGGTTCATAAAGGCGTTTATATTTTAATAACATAATTGTAACAAATCCAAAACGAAAGATCACAACGTCAGGGAAACTGAGCCTCACGATATGAAATTGACTTACAACGCAATTTAAATTGACTTATGCGTGAGAATAGGTTTCGTGTGAATCTTATTTGCAATTGAATACAGAAATTTCGTTGTCTATTTATCGTCAATGAAATAGTTTCCAAAATTCAACTATTTCTTTCCTCGCTGTAGATATTAATTTTTTTACCATTGTGTCGATTTGACAAAGGATTTGACTGAAATAAAGTGAGGGTTAGAAAATTGTTGGAATAATACAAAGGGTTAAAATATCGACAATTTTTCGTTCGAAAACTTTCGTCCACCACGTTCCACGATTTTCAAAATCTCAGCCAGATTAATAAATATAACAGAATCGCGTGATAATTGTACCAATGCAGTTTCTTGGACCATCGCCGAATGATAAATAGTGCATGGGATTCCTCGCTTTTACTGCCTCCTCTGAGAACCTCTCAGGATCGAACTTCTCTGGATCTGGATAGATATCTGGATCCCTTTGTATGGAGAATATCGGTATCCACACTCTCGAGCCTTTCGGTATTGACACTTTCGTAGACCGGAACGTGTAATTATCCGTTGCTTCTCTGAACAAGAATGCCAAAGGTGGATATTTCCTCAGTGCCTCTAGAAGAAGAAGAAGAAGAAAAAAGAGGGGAGACCATTGTGTCTCGCAGTGAAATATTTGATTCTTCGCATGGTCCTACCTTTAAGTACTTTGTCCAGATATGTCATCTCCTTTATAGTCTCGTATCTCCATTGGCCGTCAGTTTTCTGATCGAATTCCTTGATCTCTTGTCGCAGTTTCTTCTGCACTTCTTGATTCAACGCCAATTCGTACAGAGCATTCGTGATCGTGGTGGATGAAGTCTCGAAACCTGCCGCGAAGAAGACGAACGCTTGTGCGGCTAGCAACGTGTCGGTTAACTCTGAAAGGAAAATGATGTTATTCTTCTAATAATAGGTTCCTTTTTAATCAAATTTATTTATCGAATGACAATGAATTTCAGCTGTGGTTGTAGTTGTTCTAATTCTCCAAAAGTGAATTTCTTGAATGTCGCAATTGACGAAGAGCAACAGGTTTCAGATTTGTGAACAGCGTGCAAAAGAAATGATTATTCCTATGATATCTTCTGCCAGAAATAACCATTATTATTTAGTGAGATAAAGTTTATAATTTGCCGAATTTGTGTAATTAATCCTGTGTAACGTGGAAGTTATCCGTATATTTTATTATTATGTATATTTATGCTTCATTATTTCGTTTCGTCGATATACTATTGCAAATAATTTATCCCATTCTTTGATTTTACATTCTGTGATTTTAAATTAATTTTAGATAACCATAACTTTTAAACAATAATCCAATAATATTAAACAGTAATAATAATTTTTTCTCCTAAATGAACAAAATTTTGATTATGAAGGATTAGATAGGAAATATGATGGTATTAAAGTATTCATAAATATTTGAAATACGAAATTAAGATATAACGATATTAAATGTAGCCTCGATTAACTAGAAATCTTTTTCCTTGCAACGAAACGAAATTCCGTTTATAGAGAATTAAATATGAAATACTAGTAGTAACGATATTTTACTTTCAAGATACTAATCAATCCTTGAGTCTGTCAGCTTCGTAGCTTGAAATTCATGTCTAATTTACATCAAACTGATAAATGGAAATGAAACGTCCCCTACGTCATTTAAAACATAAGATGATACTGATGAATCACATAAATCTCTCAATAATCAACACCGACACATAACACAATCATTAATTTGAAATTAGAAGAGATTGCATGAAACAAAAAAACTTACTAATATCCTTCACTCTTTCGGGATTGTTCCGAAGCTCCAGCAATGTGTTCATAAAATCAGGCCTGACGATGTTATGCTTCTTTCTGTACGTTAGCGTCTCAATAGTGATCTTCATGATGAACTCGTTCACCTTGTCCGCTGGGAGGACGTAACCAAGTAAATTGTACAGTTCACCTATGCATTCCTTTATCCTGAACTTCAGCATTCCTTTCCAATCGGTGGCGAAGATCTCTTTGCCCATTCGGCGAAACTCGCTCTCCTCGTCCGACAGTGAGTTCATCTCGATTCCAAAGGCACAGCTGCCGATCACGTCGGTGGTGTACTTGGCTGCGACTTCTCGCACCTCGATAGGCTCCCCCTTCTTCACCAGTGTGTCCATATAATTCTCGAAGTGTTTGGCGCACTCGAGAATCAGAGTGAAAATTCCTTTGAGCTTGCCGGACGTAAACACCGGTGAGAGCTGCGCCCTTAATGGTCTCCATCTTTTTGCTTCCAAGGCGAACAGGTGCTGCGACAGCGGCTCTGCCTGCGGTCATCGAACAAATTTTGTGATTTAAAATGTCACATTCCTGAAAATAGTGTAATATTACTTATATAATAATATTATATTATTATATGGTATACATATAATTAATATAATTAATGTAATTACATTATAATATAACAGATTAAATAATATTATATTATTATATAAGTAACTGTAATATATTGTCTGTTATATTATAATGTAATTACATTGATTATATTAATTATATATGTATACTTATAATAATTTGTAATTATGTTGTTATAAATAACACAGCAATTTATAATTATATATCATATGTAATGTACCTATATGTAATAATATGGTAATTGTATAATGTAATAATTACATTGTTATATTTTGTTAGAATATGTAATATATTAAAGATACGTATTATAATTATAATTTGTTATATAGTAATATAATAATGTATACTACATTTTATATATATATGTACAGCGTGTCCCACATAACTCTTGCCATTTTTCAAACACTTGCAATGGTCAAGAAGGGTGTTTCAAATGAATTCAATTTTTAACAAGCTACGAATTTTCAAGAGAATCTTTGTCCACCAAAAAGTCTAGGAGCGAGCCTAGCCTTTGTTAAATAGTACTGCGTATTTTTTATTTCACTTCGTCGTGAAGTCAAATATTGAATTGCTATAAAGCTTTTATTATCGAAGGATCGACACACGTTGGAAAACGCAGCCAGCTTACCACTTCGTGCATCAGAAATCCGCGATTTGCGAATATCGGGAAATCCTTAATAAGAACGTCTTTAATGAGTTCGGTGTCCTGCACAATGAGATGAGGTGTCCTTCGTACGAATATCCCGACGAGAGGCTCGTTTTTGTATTCACGGTATAGGCTCGTTAAAAAGTCCGCGAGCGACAGTTTGCCGATCGTCGGCCAGAAGACATTTCCAAACACTGGTATTGGTTTCGGTCCAGGAACCGATCGATCCTTCCAGAAGTTGAACTTCGCCGTGAAGTAATAATACAGCAGAACGAGCAACACTACTATGTAGCTTAATATTTCCAACGTGGTTGCCATTTTGTTTAATTGGTTATTTCAGGGGTTCAACATCAGTATTTTCTGCAAGATACAAGTGTATATTCGTGAGTACATCTCTGTTCGTATGTTAATTTAACTGAGTTACATACGCATCGTTATTATCGTTAATGTAATTATGCCATTTATTTTGTTTTAACGTCGCTTCAGTGACTGTGGTTGTTACATTATAATAATGTTTAATAGTTTAATAATAAAGATATTTACAAGTTATTTGGTGCAACTGAACTGGTGCGTAGAATGACTACGAATTGTACAGGCTGATTCTCTCAACTGTGACGAATTGTACCTTAAGAATGAGAAGAAATAGAAGAAAATTGTATATATGGAAAAAAATGCTTGGTATATAAGATGATTTACTTTCCTGTTCTTTCTTTTTCTATTTTTTTTTTTATGAATGCAACGATAAATCTAAAGTATTCAGATGCAACTTTTTTTTTCAAATAGATTCATACATGAAGCTCGACATTCTCTAGAAAAAGATGTTAACTTATGAATGTGTAAAAATAATTAATTTAGGAAATATATTGACTTCAATTTTCAAAAGACAAAAGACAAGGAACTGTTCTTATCTTTCATAGATTTTATAAAATTAAAATCAAAATACTTATTACTAAATTACTAAATTGAAATAATTTTTCAACTTATGTGGCGTAGAAAAACCAAATGATTGAAAAAAAAAAATTCTTCGCAACAATTTTCTGTAATTTTTTTGTATCTCTTATCGCTGTTGAGATATGTCACAGCTGCAAGGCTGTGTATATCATGATGACTTTGTATAATTAACGTTACAGTACATTATCAGTTTTATCAAATAATCTCGATAATAATATTTTATCACAACAACTCTACAGCAATTAGCGAAATAACTTTATCACAACTCTCGAGCAATTAACGAAATTTCATGAATAATAAGAAACTCAGTTATAGCTTAGTTATGTCATGTTATGTCCTCCTCTTCTTTGAATAAAATTTGTTTCCAAAGTTCTCCAAAGCAAAGAGATATTCGAGGTTATCAATTTCTGTTGCGTATAGATTCATTAGTACCAAGATATTCACAAGTTGTAGTATATTTTCAATGAAATGGCATTATATCTGAGTATGAAAGAAAAGCCAATTGCGATCGAGTTATCTAGCATTTTGTTTTTCACGAGAACGGTTTGATTTCTTTCATACTTTTGCCCCCATCGATAAGTAGAATGCGATAAAAAAATTTTTATCTTGAACTCAAAGTTTAGGTTAAATTTAAGCGTGAATTTTGCAGCAATTTCTTTTAATGAATCTTCATCAGTCCAATCGTAGTATCATGCAATCACTTAATTGTGAGATACAATTTCCACTTACTCTGCACTTCTTATAATCTGCTATCGAATCACGGCTTCTGACATATTTATGCTGATATTTATATTATTATTATAATTGACATTAATATTGTTAAAATATTCCGTATAATATGCAATAATAATATATAATGTAGTAATTAACAGTAATAATATAGTGTTAGCATGATATAAAAAACATTAAAAAATTCGTTAATATAGAATAATAGTAACTATATACTAACATAATCTATTGACATTCAGAAAATATTACAAGAGTGCAATGAACGCGTAATAATTTGCTTGTTCTATTTTCTATTTTATTTCACATTTTATAGCTAGTTTAAAATTTGCTTAATCTTAATTTATTTCATTACATCATTAACGTTGTTCAAATCGTTCTTTCGTTAATCGTTCATTCGAAGATGAATGAAAGCATACACATGATATCACGTAATACTTAATTTCAAAAATCTGTACGAAATCGGCATCAGTCAATGGATGCCACAGAACTTACTGATTCGAATTAAATAATACCGAAAATTTGACTAATTCAGATTACTCGTAAATTACAAAGATCGAAAATTAATTAAATCCATTGGAATGAAACGATTTATTAATCTTGAACAAATTTAATAGCACTGCACTGTCCTAATTATGTTCTGCTTGTATTTACATACCGAGTGAGTTATCTGATTGTGAGACTAGGAGTTGAAATATTTTCGAAACGATTAATTATATATAAAAAAATTTTAAATAAAAGTCGAATGGTTTCGGAAATTAATCGATACAATTATTATCTTTCAATGTTAATGCATAGAAGGCGTTTGAAAGTTTGTTTCTGAAGTCTGTATTTTTTAATACATTAATTGATTCGACTCGTCATTCTCTATAAAAAGGCATGAAATCATTAGTTCAGAAGCTATTTCAATTAAAATAATCCAATAGAGTATCGAATTCAGCGTTAGTATATTGATATTGTATTTGCTGTATTTACGAAAAAATATGTGATTTCTAAATCATCTTCGAGAAGAACGAACTCGTGACTTTAGATTGCGGCTACATTGTAGAAGCTACAGACCTTAAAATGAAACGAAGCGTATCGTTACATAATCTTTTTATTGCATCAGTTTGAATTAAAGAAAATTCTACATTATCATTGGTACAGTCATGCTCTCATATAATGTCCAATTGTTGTGTAAATAAGTATAAAATTTGTAAGTATAAATGACATATCTTTCACTCGTCTGTATGGCAATTAAGATATAAAGTACACTCGTAAGTTTACTTTTAATTTCAATTGCAATCGTCATACACATAGAACTGCAAGAGTGTTCATAAATATGCAATATTTAGTAAAATGTTGCAATATTTGCATGTTATATAAATGTTACATGTATACATAATCACGTCTACAAAAACTATTTAATTACTATTCAATTACGTGAATTGCAATTACGGAAACACGATATAAATATTAATCATTCCCCGTCCTTCACGGACTACGAAATTGGTTTAATTAATTAGTTTTTTTTAGCAGGAATATGTTAATATTGTTTTGTAAAATATGAGTAGTAATGATTTGCGTCAGTTAATTGGTCAATTAAATAATCGCATGACTCCACTTAAAAGAACGTCTTGCACAAACGAACACTTGATGAATAATATGTTTATCATAAAATTTAATGACAGCAAATTACAAATTTTCTGCGAAGTATTGTGTCGCATAAATTTAAAATAAGAGATCATTTACTTAAAAAATATCATTTACGTTTCCTCGTTTTTCACAGGATCCTTTCCCCGTAACGTTTAACTAATGATTTTCCTACGCGGAAATTTCAATTTTGTAGAAAATAATGGACTAATTAATAATTATATGATTCCATTTTAGGACATAAACACAAAAGTATCATTTATATTATTACTTGCCTTTTGTAGAATAGTTCTTATAAAATTTAGCCAGTGGTCTTCCAACGCGAACCTTTTTGATATAATTTTGCAGAAAACGATGAGTTGTTATACATTTAATCTGCCAATAACTCGATTTAATTACATAGCTCGATTTAAAAGACGGTATGTCACTTTAACGCGATACATCAAATAATTACTGTAATAATTACATCGGATTATAACATTCTTCAGTCTCTGAGCGAGTAAGTTATACGAAATACACACACTTAACAAACTTTATACATAATACAGAAATAAGTGTCTGAACTGAAACTAGAATGTTGGATTCTCTCAACGTGCGAACAAGCGTGATCTCGCTTGATTGAAGACTGTTGTACTCACTTGTTATATAGTCTTGTTACGAAGCAGCTCAAGTCCCCTCACGTCTCCATTATTATAACTCAGCACTTCTTGACCTTGTATACAGATTCTTTTCCTGTTTTTCTTCTTTTCTCCGTTTTTACAAGTCATTTCGTATTTTAATGAACTTCTAAAAAAAAGAACTCTGTTTACGTAAGTTCTATTTGTTAAAGAATCGACTAATAGATCAATAAATACATTGTTTAATTAAAAAAAAAAAAGAAAAAAAATGGAGGCTTCATATGATCTCTACGATAGAATACTATTAATCCTTCGAAGGATATTTATTTTATATTTTGTCTCTAGCAGGCAGTTTGCGATTATTTGATCTGCGTTTATAAATTAAAACCGGAAACCCTGTACGGTTCTAACTATAAACTATTTGTCCTATATATATAAGCGGAGTTCTATTGTACTCTATCTATTAATATTTCAGTTTTGAATGAATTTCGAGTGAATATCGAGTAACATAGAATAATAAATCGTTATTCGTTATCTTTTCGATTATCTTGCTTTCATCATATCGAATACGATTAATTGAAATCAAGATAATTATCATTGACATAGAAGCTCAAGTCCATAATTTACAAGGATTTATACGTTCAGGAAACGGTGGGATTTCTGAAGGAAAAAATTATTTTAAACAGGAATCGATAAATAATAGTTGCCCACAATGCTGTTTAAAATATGAGCTGCGGTTGAATTTGAACTTTCAGAAATACCATATCGTATAATTCAGTAAAAATAATATCTAATAGAGATTTTGTATAGAGATTAGAGAAGGATGATTTATTCGTCTTACGGAATCTTTTTTAACGAACTGTCAAAATTGTACGAGAACTGTTTTAAATTTGTTTTAAAGAAGTTCCTAAATGACGCGCAACATCGAAAAGAATTGTTTTAAAAATACGGCAGATAATTCGTTTCTTTCAATTCGTAGTTTCAAATATTCAGATTATACCGTGTAGAATAATTATCACAAACAAATATGAATTGTTATATAAATATCAGAAGTATTATATTGGAAAACTTTTGAAATATATTTTGAAGACCGATCTTTGGTAATTATTGAAAAAAATAGGAGCGTTACAGTTATTTAGTTTACATATTGTTTCACATTGTTGCTACCTCCACGTTGGCATAAAAATTATATCTTTATGTTGAGTATATTATAATTTCTTTGAAAATTATCGAGACTTGCAGTTTATAACATTCGTCATTTTATCAGTTTACAATGAAAGTTATTTATTTTGGACGATAAAAATAAACGAATTATCATAATTTCTTCGTTTCAATCCACTTCGAGAACTACACGAGGTATAATGAAATATAATTAGATAGATATAATGAAATAAAATATTTAACTCAGTCGGTAATATAAATTCAAAAACAAATCGATTAACACCGTGTAAAAAATTGTTTTATATGACGAGAAAAGAACTAGATAAATCGCAGAAGAAACTATGACGTCAATATGTAACTTTAGAAAAGATTTATTAAATTATTATTATTTATTAATTTTTAAAATTTTCCAACACTCTCTTTGATAGTTAAGATAACGAAGAAGGACATAACAAATTCCTTCATGGCATAAATCATGGCGTCAATGAAATCAATCAATGAACCATTAATATATAGATGTCATCTCGAACAGTTTATCTAATAACATTTCGATTTCATCAACGTGACATAATTGCTATAACGTGACTCAAATATAGATCTGAAGATAGTCCAGTGTGCTCGACAGAATCATCAAATTTTCAAATCAATTTCATCTCGAAAAGTATCGGTAGTATCTAGATACAAGCTATTATTCTCCTTTTCTTATTACGTGAAATTACCTGTTCGATCGTATCACGTGATTTACGGTGTATCGGAAAAACACTGGCAACATTTAGTTCCTTTGCAGTATCTTTATAAATACGATATTATATATTCCTACGTAAATTAATTGATCATTCACGAGAAATTTTTTTTTGCAGCCTTTTTTTTTTTCTTTCTCGTATAAGTAATAATAATTAAATTTCTAATGGTTCTTCCTAAGTGTTCTTCCTTGACGTTGGCGTTTTTAGCGATTTATCATTGGATAATATTCCGATATTTACGTAAGGGTGTTTTGTGATTTTTCTGATAAGAATCTGTCGTTAAACTGAGCACTGGCATTGTTGGTCAATGATTTGTCGGCTCTTAGACGTTTATAGTTCTCGCGTTATTGTTGTACAACTCGCTACTAGAAATGGCTGTTGTGCAATTATACAATCTTACACGCAATAAACCGTTTATAGAAACAGATTTTGTTAACGTATTGTTTACTGTCACGAGGTTATCGCCACAAAACTCGCTATTTTCTCGATCTGACAATGAATGTACGTGATAAAGAATATCGTCGTAGTCTCGATCTCTTTCTCGATGGTCTGTAATATTTTGCAGTCAAATATTCTGTAACCTTGTCAATTCAGCAGTGATCTCTCCTGCATTTACTGTATGTACATCAGAAGCATATCGACTTTTTCTAAATACGAAAAGCGATTTATTATAAACTATACTCGTCTTCTTTCATTATCGAATATTTGAAAACATCGTCTTAATAAATTTTCAGTGTTTAACGTTCACTGCGATTAATTTAATATTCACTGTGTATCAACGCTAGAGTTACCAATGCGATCAAAATGACCATTTTTCGATTTCTTAGAGTGGCTTTGCAGATTTGCAACGTTACGTTTTTTTTTTCTAGAATTTTTTGATGATTCTTGCACTATGAACCTTTTCCTATTCCTTATTCTAATTTTGATATTTTAGTCATCTTTGGGCAGTTTCTAGCGTATAAAATGCACGCACATTCGTCGATAATTAAAAACAATGTTTATTTATACATTACAAAAGAATATTTTAGTTTCGAGACCCATTTTCGACGAATATTTTCATTTCATTAGATATCGCATATTTTTACCAGCGAAAGAAGAAAATTAATGAAAGAGGCGTTCGATCGTTTCGAACGAACGAAGAAGCCACGTTAATCCACTATTCTGGTCATCTTCAAGTACAACGGAGTCGAAGGTGTCAAAATAAACGAAAATGGATTTAACTTATACGGAATCTTCGTTTCAGGGCAAACGTCGATTTTGTTCTTGCGTAAGATTTTTATCAGTCCAATCTTCGTTTGATAAAATGCGAAACGTGCACCTGCAACAAATTATTCAATATTAAGTACACGTAGGCGAGAAATTGACTTGCTAATATTTTGTTTATGCACATAATAGAGCCTTTTATCCAGCTATTATCCAATATCCAAACACTATTATTCAAAACGGTGCAATTGGGGACAACGTTCGATTAAGAAGAAACACAGTATCTTTCATTATTACAAAGAAGATGGTAATCTTTCATTTATATTTTTTACAAACAATTTTACAAATTCCGTTAAATTTTATTATCGTTGAAAATTCTTATACTTCGTATTTTGCTTCTCATTAAAGACTTCATTATTTCTCAGTTTAATACTACGAGACAATCCATACCATTTGAATGAAATTATTCGAACCACGTCCATTTCTAGATTATGTAAAATGGACAAATTACTCAGTCAATTGTTATTCGAATAGTTATCGAGAAAAAAAAAGATATTTTTTTTTTTTATTGCCAAATACGTACCCACACAATTTCTTGGCCCGTGTCCAAATGGCATATAATGCATAGGTTGGATCTCGTGGAAATTGTCCTCCGCAAATCGTTCGGGGTCGTATTTTTCTGGATCCGGATAGATGTCCGGGTCCCTGTGAATGGCAAACACGGGTATCCAGATCAACGTGCCTTTGGGAATTGTTATTTTCGTATTGTCGAACGTGTAGTCTTCGGTCGATAGTCTGCTCAAAAGTACCAGAGGTGGATACTTCCTTAGCGTCTCTGTAAATGGGACGATAGTAATAATCACTATATGCTGAATATATACGTGACTGTTATATTATATTATTATATTATTGTATTATGTCTTATTATACGTACTGTATTGTTGCACATGTATTATATAATAGATGTAAATAAGTTCGATGAACATTTAATTTCTAAATAATAAATATAGCAAATTCTTTCTTTACGTATATTTGTCAAATCCGGAGCGCGTTTCGTTTGAATATTTTTGAAAATTCCACTCCTGACAGGATATGACCTATGATACGCTGATACATTATTGAACTGCACTGACACAAATATTCGCGAATTCCAGAATTATAAAAAATCAGTATAACGAGAATGTCCTAGACTTTAACTACTGTGTGCTTTGCAGGTTTCATTCTAAATAAAAAAGATCCTATACATTGAGCGTTTCGATTGACTTATTTCCCATTTAGTTTTGTACAACAGTCGATGTATTGTTTCATTCTCTATGAGAAAGCACCCGAATCGAAAATTACATCTTTGCAGGATATTTTAATTATGATATATTTAGATGTCACTGAAAGCATCGTGACGTTCTCACCTTGGAACACTTTATGCAAATATTTCATTTCTTTTATCGTTTCGTACTTCCACTCTCCGCCGTTTTTCACCTCGAATTGTTTGATTTCTTCTCGCAGCTTCGTCTGAATGTCCGGGTTCAAAGCCAGCTCGTAAAGAGTGTTGCTAATCGTCGTCGAAGAGGTCTCGAAGCCAGCCGTGAAGAAAATGAATGCTTGCGCGGCTAATAATTCGTCTGTTAATTCTGTAACAGAAAGAAGATTTTTACTAATAATTATTACATTATCAATGTACCATATATAAATTATTCAAAAAATTCTAACGTTCTCATTTTTAAAAAAAATCTTAACGCTAAAAACACTATCAAAATCGTCAAGATTTTTGTTCGACTTTTTACGAAGATAGAACAGTATACTTTTAAGGATTTAATAATGATAAGAGCTTTTTTCTTCACTTTAATGCCTCGAATGGGAAATTCTATGCTTCAATCGTTCTAGCGTTAATATCGTAAAATGATAAAGAAAAGAATCGTGCAGCGTGTTTCAAGGGATTGTCTTAAAAAAACTTTTTTAACGACGTTTGAACTTTTCGAGGATTCGCAAAGATTTTCTTCTTAGAGGAAAAAAATCGAAGTTAGTGGTGAAAGTAGAAGCTGTACACTTTAAAATGGCACCAAGTCACCACGTAACTTTCTTTTACGAAAATACAGCAACTTCAATGACAAGTGTCGACAAAATCTATAAACGAAGCATATTGTACTAACCGATGTTTATCTTCTCGGGATGCCTTCTCAGCTCCATCAGGATGTTCATAAAATCAGGCCTGACGATGTTGTTCTTCTCTCTGTAGTTCAACGTTTCGCTGGTGATCTTTATGAACAGTTTCGTTGGCATGTCGTACGGCAGAAGACGAACGAAAAGTGTGTGCAACCACGGCTGCATTTCGTGGAATTTGGTTTTCAGAATTCTGAAGAAGTTGGTGGAGAAGATGTCCTTGCCGGCCCGTCGAAATTCGCTCTCCTGTTCCGACAGTGAGTTCATCTCGATTCCAAAGCCACAGCTTCCTATCACGTCGGTGGTGAATTTGGAGGCCAGCTCTCTCGCGTTGATCAGCTCGCCTTTTTCGACCATCGTGCCCAAGTACTCCTCGAGATGATTGGAACACTCCAGGATCAGGCGGAACATTTCTTTCAGCTTGCCGGAAGTGAACACCGGGGACAAATGATTCCTCAGCGGTCGCCATCTTTTCGCTTCCAGACTGAACAGG